CCCGAATGGCCTTACAATTTAGCACTTTATTAAAAATATATTTTTAAGGGTGCTAGTGCGGGTTGTATTCTAAAGTTAAGTTGTAACGCTCGTCTTTTTTCTCAGCAATTCAGTACCACGTGACTTTTAAGACTGGCCATGGTTGGTTCGCTGGAATATCGTCATCAATTCATATCACCTTATATGGATCGAACGGGGCAAACAGCGGCGTCATAAGATTAAAATCGTATGTTACATTATCTATATTTTTACCTCACGTGCTAGATTTCAGTTTTTCTTTTTTGTGTGTGCAACTCTTATCTCATCATTATCCAGTCAATGGACTCCCCCCTCCCTCCCCCACAGGAAATCTGGAATTGTATACCGTTACTTCATAATGTCAGAGACGCAATTTCAACTCTATCAAAGATTATTACAGAAGAAGTTTTTTGCGATTCTGCTTTTATCATGTTTATTCATTGAGTTTGTTTGTCTTTATTGAATATTTTTCTTCCACATAGGCGCAAACTTAATGCTGGTTCTAAAGAATTCTTCGTTGCTCCTGTTAACAAAGTCCTTGGTACGTTAACAAAGATTGACGTCAGACACAATGGTATACCAATGATTGAACAGTGGTACCTGGAAAAGGTGGAAATCGTCCAGGAAGCTTCGAAGCTCAAGTAATGTATTGATAGATTGAACAGAGGAGTGCTTTCACTGAATTGGAGAAATAGTTTGCTGAAAAATTAAGAACGCAAGCGCAAGTAGATATTTTGAAATCGGACGCGTGGAACTCGGAAATCATTTATTGATACCAATTCCTTGGAACTACGAATGAAAGGGGACATGGACCACCAGCATCCTTTTTGATCAGCTTTTTGCTAATGTTTAAAGATAAAAACACATCGTAATCTAAACAAAAACTTACTCATTATTATCCCTTTATACTATATGAATGGAGATCCTGTAAGATTCGACCTTTAAACCGATGGATGGAGACGGATTGCGAGTGGCCGGATATTCGAAGCCACCTAGTAATTTTTCCATATATATATAAAATCTAAAACACGACCGTATTGAATGCAGCATGTTGCAGCATGCATGTCCCTTTAAAAAGATAACGACACGACGGAATTAATTATCARCCAGTCTTATTAGGCCTTACCTGCGAGTTTGAAATAGCTATMTACATTTGCTTATGGATGTTCAATGCTGTCAGTTCTATTTTTCTAAGCCATGTATTCCAGTACAACAGTGATTGTTTAGACTATATTTTGCACATAATGTTGGCATTATTTCAGCAAATAGTATTATTCATTTTGTTTAATCTTTTGAAGATAGACGTCCATCCGAGAAACTTTTTGATTGTATATATTTTTTATTTCGAGTAATATTAACAAATATTTTATGATGTGATCTTTGCATGTTAGTCGAAATCGGACAGATGAATTTGTTTTCAATTATTCCAAAAAGTTTTGCGATAGTTTATTATTGAGTTAATGATGATGTCTACCGCTTTATTTTCTGGATCTCATAAATTTTTTGTGTATTGGCAAAAACAAATTTCGACAAAATGTGATTTCCGTTTCCTAGGTAACGTTAATGGACCTAAATATTATCCCAAACAAAACTTTGATCATTATTGGTCCAAACATTTGCTTCATTACTGTTCCAAACATCAAATAAATCGGTGCATAGCAAGATTTTCAAAAGGCGAATTTAAGAGGATAGCTATGGTCAAAAAACCAACTATAGGAAGTCACCTTAAATGAAATATGGCTCTACAGCTSGGAGAACCTTTTTYCRCGTGTGGTGAAATATTGTTGCACATATTAATATAATCTCTAGTCAATGGATAGGAACAGCTATGAAGTAAAAGTATATGTTTTAACCAATCATATTTAATCTGATTTTATCTGTTATCTATTTTTAGATACACGGCATGTTATAACAAGTGGCTGAACAGTGGCGGCGCCATACGTAAGCTACAGCAAGGCCCATCTGTTTCATGCTAGTTGTATATGTACTTCTAAGCCTTTTCCAGATGTCAAGACGTATTTTATTGAAACAGAAATTAAAGTACACAAACTACTGTCATAAGTATTCATTTATTATACTACTAATAATAATAATATGTGAAACTTATTTAGCGCTTATATAGCTTTCTCTTAGCGCTTGCAAAGGTAAAAGTCAAAATGATGGCGGGACACCGYACGCACCCATCGAAGTATTATTTGAAACTGAAAAATGTTCATAGACTATTTTAAGTGTTCAATGTTCCTTGAAAYAGCTGTAAACGAAAATAGCGACTGCTCTTTCCTTGCATTTCTTTGCTTCCTCGTAATGTTGGAGATCTAGAAGCACATAAACGAGGTTACATAAATGTTTGGCTAATGTTGKATGATTGTCCCCATATATACGTTCGTCAATAGCAACTGCTTTTTCCAAGCATTTCCTTGATTCCTCGTACAACCTGAGATCTCGAAGCACAGAAGCGAGGTTATTTAAATATATGGCTAATGTTGGATGATTGGCACCATATATACGTTCGCCAATAGCAACTGCTCTTTCTATTGAGGTCTTTGATTCTTCGTACTGTCGGAGGCTCCTAAGCACCAAACCAAGATTATTCAGATTTTTGGCTAATGTTGGATGGTTGTCATCATATGTAGCGCTCGTTGATAGCTAGCGCTCTTTCTAAGCATTTCCTTGCTTCCTCGTACTGTCCCAGATCTTGAAGCACCGAACCAAGGTTACATAAATGGATGGCTAATGTTGGATGATTGTCATCATATATACGTTCGTCAATAGCAACTGCTCTTTCTATGTATTTCTTTGCTTCTTGGTACTGTTTCAGTTCTTTATGCATCGAACCAAGGACATTTAAATGTTTGGCAAATGTTGGATGATTATTTTCATATATACGTTCGTCAATAGCAACTGCTTTTTCCATGCATTTCATTGCTCTCTCGTTCTGTCCTAAATATTGCAGAACCAAACCGAGGTTACATAAATGTATGGCTAATCTTGGATAACTGTCATCATATATTTGTTCGTCAATATCAACTGCTCTTTCAAAGCATTTCCTTGCTTCCTCGTGCTGCTCCAGATCTTGAAGCACTGAACCTAGGTTATTCAGATCTCTAGCTAACTCTGGAAGCACCGAACCAAGGTCATTTAAATGTATGGCTAAGTTTGGATGGTTATTTTCATATATATGTTCGTCAATAGCAACTGCTCTTTCAAAGCATTTCCTTGCTTCCACGTACTGCTCCAGATCTTGAAGCACTGAACCGAGGTTATTCAGATCTCTAGCTAATATTGGATGGTTGTCATCATATATACGTTCGTCAATAGCAAGAGCTCTTTCCATGCATTTCATTGCTTCCTCGTACTGTCTGAGATCTTGAAGAACCGAACCGAGGTGACTGAGGTCTATGGTTAACGCTGGATGGTTGTTATCATAAATTTTTTCATCAATTTCTAATGCTTTCTCCAAACATTTCTTAGCGTCGTCGTACTGATTGAGATCACGTAACAAGCATCCAAGATTAACTAATGCTATAGCTAAATTTCGGCTATTTTTGTTGCATTCACTTTCTGCGATTCGAATCGCTAACTCGAAATATTCCTTGGCATCAACATATTTACCTACTTTCTTCAAAACAAGACCAAGATCATTATACCTCTCGAATAAACATGGATGATCCTTGCCAAATCTTTTCTGGTCAACAGAAAGTGNAAGACCTGTCTTTTCCCTGTTGCTTTTTGTCGCAAAGTCGGGAAAAACATTGAAGACTTCTTAAGATCAACAACGTTATCTACAATCAATAACCACGAGGAGAACAATGCCAATTAAATTCCAGATTTTATCCTCTGGTTGTGAGAGGGCTTTTGAACATATAATACTTTGGATGTAATCTTCTTCTATTATGAGAAGACGTGAGAAGTTAATGTATGACCTTAGTAGTCTGTCCACACTCGAAGCATTGAGTGTAGCAACGAATGTCGGCAACGCAGCACTCGCAGTTTTATCAAAAACCCTTTCACCAATTTGTCTTGCTGTTTCACTTTTTCCACTGCCTTGGATTCCCCGACAAGTAGACATATGTCACCTCGTTTGGATGGAGGCTTTGTAAGGATTTCATCTCTTTAATTAAGGAGTATACTTCACTCGAGCGCGGAATGGCTTCATGTCATGGCTTGGGTGGCAAATCACAAAATGTCTGTGGCTCCTGGTTGCGCCTTTTTTCTTTATCAAGCTGTTCCTGAATCTTTTKGAGCTCATCTGTTTGAAAACTGGTTTGGGATTTAAGCTTTTTAACGACATTTGTGTCGAGTTTTAAATCATCGAAAGCGTTGATTACACATCTTGTGTCGAAGTCTGGAAATCTGCAACTAAATCTGTAACTTTGCATTGATGATAGTGGGCATATTTGTTACGATACTGTCGCACATCATCTACGGCTTTCTTCACTTTTGAGTGAAGCCCATTCTTTCCTATGCAATCAGAGTAAAGGATCGCGTAAAACAGGCAAGTGCAGTCCCATTCCCCTCTGTTTCAAAGTTTCTGATTATAGAAAGTTCTTTTGCCTTCAATTTTTTTTCTTTTGGAGGTATCAAGCTGAAAATGATCGGAAAATGCTTTGAAATCTCACGAGTTTTAACAATAAATTTCTGCACATTTTACACAACTGCAATTGCATGACAAAGAAAAAACAAAAAGAAAACAAAACTCATGCACTATTGTCAAATATCATCTTTCTCTTTTTGTTTTAGAAAAGATGGAAGAACGTAATGAGAGATACAGATTGCACAAACCTTTAAAATGCATTTTCATTTCGTCTTTTTTAGTACTTTTGCTGGTCCAATCATTCAATCCAAGCACACTGAAACAACTCGATTTCTGAATGCAAAAAAGAGAAAAAAATGAAATATCAGTGTCCTAAGTGAGAGTCTAGAACTATGTTATATGCAAATTCCGTGACTGAATTTAATAAATTTGACCTGAAAGGTAGCATAAACAATACAAACGGTACAGTCTTTGAAGCTTTGTCAGTATTGTAACTTTGAGTAATATTTTGATCGTTTGAATCATACTATCTCGTAAAACTAGTAGAACTTTGA